TATATTGATAGTCAATCTTCGTGGCCAGAGGTTTGAATTATTCAATGAAGCATTAATTTCATTTGCCCGTGTTCCTTTATGTATAAGGGGAAGAGTATGACAAAAATGCCATGAGAAGATACTTGTGACGTGACGCACTGGTCGATTGTCTCGGCGAATATCTGATAACGTTCTATTCACATCTTCGAGGGTTTTTTGTTGGACACGGTACATTCGTCCCAAACGTTTAGACACTAATTTTATACTATTTTGTCACAATTTCGGGTTATAGAACAGGTTGGTGTTGTAGTTCCGTCTAAATCAATTAGGATTTTGAACATTGTGTGTACAGTCCTTCCATAATCCCTGAAGATGCTTCTGTGAGAGCGATCTTCTTCTGTCTCCTAATTTCAGTCAGGATTGCTCTTGTAATAAATGTTTGTTAAGTACCCCCCGAAGCATCTTAGAAAAACAACTGTACTACATAATATTTTTACTCTTTAACTTTGTCATTTTTTATTAAATCAACTAACGGTGGCACTGATGTCGGAGTTTAAGTCTATTGCTTAAAATTATATAAATTATCGTAAAGTGTAACAAAATCCTTGATCTCCATTCGATAAATTTCTGTGCCAACGGATGTCAATTCTTCTCACTATGTGACTCGTGTCGCATTTCAGTTGAGCAATCCTTCGAGTAACATCAGTAACGTTAGTTCTGCGGATCTCTTAATTCCTAATTCGATCACGTAGAGAAATACCAAGCACTACTTCTTCCATTGCCCGCAAGGTGATCTTGAGCTTTCTTATTACACCCATAATGGACGACTATGTTTAGCTTGCGTAAGTAAAGTGAAATGCTGTATAACACTCATCAATATACATAATTTCACTTTAATTTATTAAATCATATCATTATCATATTTTACAATATTTTAATATTGTACCGTTTTGGTGTAGACGTATTCCAGCGAGGGCAATGAAATGCTTGTTCAATGGTAAAAAGGTAACTGGTTTATTGCGGGTTGACGCAAGACTGATCCTCAAAATCAGATTGATACACTTATATATATATGGTGTGTAAATTTCTATGGCTATAGGTATACTTTTATGTAGTGGCACAGTACACTACAATATATGACATCGTAATAACATTTTTGCATTCTTATTACTTGGTTTTCATTGTACTTTATTTATTTATTGTTGGGAAACTAAATTTTTATGATTTTTCTGTTTGATAAAAGCATTGTGTCAATTCTGTTCCACATAAATTACGTAGTGTAACGATAAGTCATAAATAGATTGATTGACAGACAGATACCAAGTTGTTTTTATAAACTTGATTCTGATTTTGCTATAATCAGTTTCATTGTGTACAGTATTCATCGTGACTAGCGTGTGCGCAGTGTTGGTTGGAGATTGCGCAGGAGTCGAAGTTGCTTAACATAAACCAGGGTACAGGAGGCTGATGTGTTTGCTTTCTACAACATCCCTTACTTGACTGCGAAAGGACCGCACAAGTTTACGGTAGAAGAGGGTGTTGTTCTAAATTTTGTTTTCTATATAAAAAAAAATATAGCTATAACAAAGTATAAATACGAGAACCTATAAATTAGGTTTTCATTTATTCTATTACTATAACCAGTTACTATATATATATATATACATATTATGATACTTTGGGAATCAACCGATCGGTAACGTGGGTAAGTGGGTAACGATGACAATTTAAAATACGTAGATTACTTGTCAGACGTGATGTTTATAAATGGAATGTTACGATCCGTTAAACTACAAGTTGAAACAGGCAATAATGAGAAGAACTTGCAGGAATTTTCTTATGCTTTTACAATATTTTTGTCCGTCTTTAGACGTTTATACGAAAAGGTGATATTGAATCCTTATCAAACGAATATGCTTATCGTCAAAGAAATTTAATGCAAATAAAAATTGTCTCTTACACCAAATCAATTGGATGAGTAGTTTGGACTTTACTACGATGTTATTGAGAAAAATAACACATCCTGATTTTGAAATACTATTTCATGTGTATTTATCTAAAAACCTGTTAAGTTATAATAGTAAAACTTAACAGTTTATTTACTTGTATTCAACAACTTTTTTATTGATAAGGACTGTATTAATTATATTATTGTGTTTCTGATAAAATATAACGAAAGCAACGATGGCTAAGAGAGCGTTTATTAACAAGGAACATCTATTCAAGGTAAGATTGCCAGTCTACATAGCCAAGAAGATTATCTAAAGTAGTATAAGGCTTTTGTAGTGTTGGAGAAGGATGAAAAAGATTAGCTGGACGGATATACAATAGATTGAATAAGTATTGGGAATCATCAATGAAAAGAGACGGCTATTAGGGCTACCGCGTAACAACATTGACTTCGATTTGGTTGACATTGGTTTGCACTCAGTGTTCAACATATGTTCATTATATCGAGTTAAACCCAATGCAATTTAACGTTGAGTGCATTTTGATTAACCACAATTGATATTGATTGATATCAAATCGAAGCCAATTTTGTCATGCGGTAGGAGGCCTTCTGGAAACCATAGAAAATAGATTAGGGAGATGTATGGACACTTCATTCGACACGATGACTTCTTTCAAACCGGGCTGTTTATTTAATGACAAGTAAGACTACTATTGTGACATCATCGAAAATCATTTAGAAACGCAAGGAAAGTTACAATAATCGGGCTAAGCAAAATGTGAAACAACACTAGCTCAGAACTTCGGAAGATTACTTACAGAAGTACATAGTTATTGCTACATATGTATATAGGTATATTCAGGCCCAAAAAAGTAATACACTCTCTAGACACGGCATTGTCAAAAAATCGGCCAAGTAGACAGACTAAGAGACGGACGGACAGACGGAGGGATGGAAAAAGGGATTCTTAGCAAAATTTTTACACGTCTGACTTCAAACGAAGTTTAACATCATAATGAGCATTGTTTTATGATTTTGAGGTCTGTTTATTTATAAAAATAAACATTTTTATTATACGGTTCCTATGTGACAACCCCCACATAAATTTTGGCGATGTAGTTCTCCCATTTTTTTAAACTGAAATAAAACTACTGAGACTCTTTAACACAAAAAAGTGTACAGTCATAAGTGTAATACAGTCAAGTTGAAATCTATTCTTATTTATGAAGTTGGTTAAAAATATCTAATCTACCATAAATAGATATTAATACCAAGCAAATGAAGTTGCGGGCAAAAGCTAGTTTTTTTATAAGTATATAATAGAGTTTGAGTTTGTGTCTGAGCCGTCAACATATATCAGACCAACCACGCATTGACCAGTTCCTTCCAGGGCAGGTTCTAGTAGTTGGAGAGTTATGATTTGAGGCATATAGTGCTTGCGAAGTTTCGATCTACTTTCAGAGTTTACCTTCCAACGCCATCATAGTAGGTACTACCACACAGTCCCCGATCGATCTTTCTAGACACTTGGCAAAACTATGTATATTTGTCGCCCTTTACATCAGCAACAACCATCACCATGAGCCTACAGTTTTAAGAAATGCATGTTACCTTATGTTATATAATATTCGTAAATGTTAAGATATTTTTCCTCATTAGTGTTATGGAATCTATTCGCCAGTCGGTGCAATCAATGTTGCTGCTTTAAGTAATTTTCCAGTTGACGCAAAATAATAAATTATTAATAATTCTTAAGTTCCGCGGAATTAAGGTCTGAGACGTTACAAGTCTACTAGTATGATCTTTTGCTAATTCGCCCTTGCTATTGAGAAAAAAAGGAAAATGATAAAAAAGTGTTTTTGTTTTTAACCTATTCATAGTAGAAGTCTATAAACAATGTCAGATTGTGTGTTAATATTAGTGTTATTAATTTTCACATTTTAATTTAATAGCTTCCTTTTTTAATTTTTGCCACAGCCTGGTGACTTACGTACTGACACAGACAGATGGACGGATAGCGGAGTCTTGGTAATAGGGTCCCGTTTTACCTTTTGAGTACGGAACGCATAGACCTAACTCTGAAAAATGAGATGGCTAGTCAAAATGTCTAGTACGTCAAACACTGCGTGACTTTCCCTTTTTTACAGATATTCACTAAATAACTATAAATATCATTGATAAGTAGATAACAAGTACAATATTTGATAACTATTTATAATTTAGGTTTTTACATAATGTTTAAAAAAATGAAAAGTGATTAAATAAATCGTTTTAAGTACATGTAATATAAGTATCGTATAAATGGTTATCTATATTATAGGTATAGACACAAAAATATCTACAGGTGACACTGATTAAGTATTATTGTTATTTTCTTTTACATCAGATATTAATGAATTACGAGGATATTGATAAAATCTATAAATCATCGTATTTCCACTTTTCATTACTTCAGTTAGTTTCGTTGAAGTTCGAAGGATATAAATATACGCATGATGTGTTAGTGAAGCAAAATCCAAAAGCATGGGCAGCTTAAAACTTCCTTTTTTCAACCTAGATTCTGCTTGGGCAGCTTAAAACTTCCAGCATAAACGGCAGTTTGCTAACTAACACATCATGTGTATATTTATATCCTATGCACTGAAGAGATGAACTTTAAATATAGCGCGGTACCAGATGGAATGCCCAGAATACCTGGTACCCCCGTGAATCTTGTACTGCACCCTACGATAGCTTCACGCGGCCGGTGTTGTGTTCAAATATCACGAATCCGTCATGTCTTCAAGGAAAAGGTGCTGAAAAAGATCGATTTAAACTTCGATGTTGACAACAATGGTACCAAAAGCATGTATCAGATGTTACAAAAATTGCAAACCTAAGAACACTTGGGACAAATCTAACGATAGCTCAATTATCTTAAATAGGTACATACAAGATATGTGCGAAAAACATAACCCTTCCTTGACGTCGAAAATAATTGACGAAATAATGTAATTGTAAAAATAATACCGTAGTAAAATATAATACTGTTTAATAATAAAAATGTGTGTGATTCAAGCATTACTGCGAACTATTTCGCTGGCACTGCTACTTCCGTAGGTTGTATCGTATTGCGATAGTAGCGATCGTATATGTCGTTCCAAAATTTGAATCTATCAGATGCAACTGAGTCTACCAGCTCTATCGTTTTCCCAATAGACATACATGGTGATCGTTGAGCGTTTGCTGGTGTCCATGTAGGTATCTCCGAAAATCCATCTGGTGTTGGATTTCTGAAAGAATTGAAGATAAACAAAGAACATAATTGTATGAAGTGAATCAATCACGCATTATCTAAGTGCAAGATATAATTCAATATTTGTAATAATATTTCTTTCGGCTGTTTGGGTGGATGCCTGAACATTGATAAGAATACGCTCTGTAGTAGCGAAAAGTAATAAGTGCTTGAAAGATTCGTCAGTCTTGTTAGATCTTGGGTAGCTCAGCTGTTAGAACAGTCGCCTGGGTTGCGTAAGGTCTTGGGTTCGAATCCCATTTCACGGTGCTAGGGACCAAGTGGATTGTACTAAGAAATGCTTTAATATTATATACTTCGTGATTATGCGATTACATGTGCAAAAAGGAAATAAACCACGTAAAAAGTCTCTACTGTATGAATCAGTTTCCAATGGAAAAAGTTATAAAATAAAAGGAAATCTTACCCAGTTATTATAAAATTGAGCCACACTTCTCTCATTGTCGCTTTCAAATTTCGATACTCATCAGAAAGTACCGACTCGTCTTCATCAACAACCACATCCATTTGAGCGCAATGATTAGCTCCTCTCATATTTGTATAAGGTATAATAGGTAATTTATCATGTGCATAAGAAAATTGATGCAAATACATTTTATTATTGCCTGCTTCAACTTGTAATGTAACGGATCGCAGCATTCCGTATATAAACATCACGTCTGAAAAATAATCTACGTATTTCGTCTACAATTTTATCCGCTGGAACAAACGAATCTCGATTTTGTGGGCAGATTATACCTTTGTCTACTGCTTCGAAAGGTTCATCCCATGACGGTGGTAGGAGAGGAGACTGAAAATAAAAGAAATAAATATTTACAGCTACAAATAAATATTTAAACTCATCACAAACTTCACTGAGATTTGTCAGGAATTCCGCATTCGTCTTGTAGAGAAATTTATGAATAACCTAGATATTTATTATATAAGTTAACTTTAAAGATAATATACTAGTATATCGATTTTTTTTACTATCTCGCCGCTTGTTTACGAATAGTCAACTGTCAATTGATGGATATCATATCATGTATAAGCAACTGATTTTAAAGTTTTCGCTAGTTTATAAATATATAATACAGTAAAAACTGTATGATATTTACAAATTCAACAATAGGCTGGTTGACTACTTTTTTATTTTATAAATAGTCTATTAATATCTAAGAAGTAATATAGAAGTAACAGCATGTCTGCGATTAATAGCTTCGGAGATATGATGCTATGTTTATGGTACAGCTGCTAGTCGGCCGAAAAGGATCCCTACAAATGTAAGGGCGTATGGGATTTTTTTAATATCTATAAACGTAGATGTCATAATGATAGATGTTACCGTTTATGTAACTAATTTAATGCCTTATGCACTTTGGCAAATTTTGGTTATATATTTTCCCAACTTTTTTCTAGTCCTCAAAGCGCAATATTTTCCAAATTAGTGTAGTAAAATTTATTTTGTTAAATATTTATAAGTTAAAATGGTTTCCGAACAAAAACAGAAACCTGTATTTTAAATTGTTGGGCACAACCCTATAATAATATACACATGTATTTAATTTATACCACCTCTGTTTGAAACTGTTCCCTAGATATCGATAATATTAACAAAAACCTTAATTAAATTATTATTTATTATAATTTACCGTTTCTACTTATACAATTTTAAATAGAAAAAAAAATTATAAACATCACCCTCTTGTACCTTAAACTTGTGTGGTCCTTTCGGCGCAGTTGCGTAAGGTATGTTGTAGAAAGCAAACACATCAGCTTCCTGAGCCTTATATCCTATAACAGGACCCTGGTTTATGTTAACCAACTTCGACTCCTGCGCACCCGACTGAGTCAACACTGCGTACATACAAGTCACGATGAATACAATCATGTTAGTGATTGATGCGCAAAACTGGTCATAGAAAAAGTAAGATCTGCTTTATAAAGGCAAACGAGTGTCTATCGATCTGTTTATGACTAATGCACTTAACTTATTAATAGAGAATTGAAGTGGAACAAAAATTGACTAAATGCTTTTATAAATACAGAAAAATCACAAATATAGGTTTCCGGTAATGTTGTAATTGCTACAACAATATAATTAAGAACAATAAAACCCAGAAAACAAGAATGCAAAGTTAAGATTTAATTAATTAAAATGAGATGTTGTATAATGACCATGTGACAGATCCGGCATAGCTTAGATGTCGGTAGTTAAATAAAAAGTATATTTACGGTAATGATAAAAAACTAACAACAAAAATAATATAAAAACAGTTCGTTATGGATTTCCAAAAAAATATATTAGTATCCCTTACACCCTTGAACGCGTCTTGTAATTCTGCAACACATCTTGAAACCTATCAATACCACAAAACCTCATAAATGGTATTTTTAAACAGACTTAAAAAAAGAAGGTTCTCAGTTTGACCTGTATGTATATATGTTTGTGCACGATTATCTCGCGTTTGGCTGAACCCATTTTGATGCGGTTTTCATCTATTTTAACATATAATTTAAAAAGTAACTCCAATTATAGTTCACAATTCGACTTTATTTGACACAATAAAATTACAAAATTCAGACTTCAACTTCACTATTTCACGTCACTAATTATTTATGTACTTGCATCGAAATGTTGATATTAATGTGGACCTTCCCGGGATTTCTAATGGACAATCCCGTGTGGCCAACAATCTTACAACTAAATAATAATAACAACGTCAGAGATAGACAAATAAAACAAAGATAATTAACATAAAAATTTTATTAGTTTACATTAATTTACAATACAAATTATTATGACTTTGGACATCCGATGTCATTGATGTAAGTTTGGCAACGTGGTGCGTGCGGTAGTTTAAATTGTGTAAAAGTAAATAACTTTTTATTTAAAAAATCACGGGATTTTTTCTGCTCTTTAAAATTAATCTCGGGATTTGAGGCATATCCACTTTATTCTTTCGCTGTATGAAATCAGTGTAAGTACATGAATAACTCTACCTAATTCCGACCACTGCTAATAACACTCGACAACACTCTTTGATCGATCACCGCTCTATTTACCGCTTCCGATCCACCGGGACGGGTAGTCCACCGCGTATTTATTGGGGCCGATACCACATCTAGAATATTCTAGATTAGGGCCTAGAGCAATCTAGGTTGGACTTGGCCTTACCGGTGCATTCAAGGATTTACTAAAAAGTTCTAGAACAGCTACCTGACCCTTTCTTCCCCAATGACTATCCCTTTCTCGCCGACCCGATGTATACCTATATGACACAGGTAGCAACAAGAGTGTTAGCGCCATTCATTGGCGCACAACGCCATCTAGTAATGTGTAGACGAAATGCGCCGCTGCACTCGGTAACACTACCCCCTCCCTATGCCATGATACCGCGCTAATCTTTCTATACTTTATACATACGTGACATCGTTGATTCTCGTCATGACTCGGTAGAGTCTATACCATTTTGTTTGTAGTTTAGGTGACTTTAATTTGGTATGGATCGGGTTATGCAGCCAAACATGTGAATTCTCCTTGAAGCCTTCACTGTTAGCTCTACGGTCATAACGAGTTTTCATTCTGTCATTGACTGTGGAATGCCCTTACCGACACCATCAGATGATCTCCTAACAAATTCACCTTTAAAAAAAAGCTCTCATTTTTCTCTTGGAACATTATAAAGATCATCATCGTATGTATGTTATATTTATGTATTTTTATATGTATTTGTGTTTATAACTCGTGTAATCATTATTTTTTTAACCCATTTTGAATTTGGAATGTAACTTTTAGTTTATTTGTACCATAAATTCATTTGTTTATATTTTCTTGTGATGGAGGGAACCAAAAAATGACGTGCAACTGTCACTATTTGTGGCGAAAAAAAACCCGATGCAGATTTTCCGCGATCTGAAAAGTTTATCTGTAAGCCGTAACTTCGTCTATTACTCGATACAGTGGTACAAAGAGATAAGTTCTTTGCAAGATCGCCAAAGGAGTGGTCGGCCACGCTCTGTGAGGACGCCTGCGAACTTCAAAATCATCCTAGAACGACTTCGCCGAAATCCATGTCGCACTCAGAAGAACCTCGCTCTGCAGATTAATAGTTCACGCGTTTCACAGAATACTGAAATATGATCTTAAGGTAAAGGCCTATAGCCGTAGAAAAGTTTACTTTTTAAACAGTCGTCTTCGTAAGCTACATGATACCAGGAAGATACTCTTCAAAGACGAGAAAAAATTTACTGTCGAAGAAAATTTCAACCGACAAACGCTAAAAGTAGTAAGAATGTCCCAGCTTCTGCATGGAATATCTTGCGCACTTATCATCCGGCTAGTGTGATGGTATGTTGGGGAGTTTCGTGTGACCAACAAGGTGTCAAGGTGAAAGCCAAGAATCATCATAGTGACATTTTAGAGCCCGTGGTGAACCCCTGTCTGATAAGTTATTTCACAATAAGGATTCGGTTTTTCAGCAAGATTCGGTGTCATCCCATAAGGCAAAAAGCACCCAAGCTTGATTGAGGGAGAATGTGCCGGCCTTCATCGTGGCGGACGAGTGGCCCTCCTCCAGCCCCGACCCCAACCCGCAAGATTATTTTTTATGGACTGAATTAGAACTCAGGGCCCGGTGAAAGTCTCACTCAAACTTGGAGTAACTGAAGCGAACTCTTGTTCGAGAAGCAAAGCAAATTCCGCTAGAATAGATTCGTGTCGCCATTGATGACTGGCCAAATAGTCTAAGGGTCCGAATAAAAAATAAGGGCGGTAAATTAGAGTAAAATATGTATTTTATTATTGATTGTTATCTATTGAATGGTTATGTAATAGAATATTTATACGTATGTATAATATATAATTTGTAGTATAGTTAAGTAGTGTATTTTTTAGTTAACTTTATGCCGCCATCATGTTTTTCTGTATTAACCCAAAGGTTGACTGGTAGAGAATGCTATTACAATTAAGTCCGCTTCTTCTACCAATTCAATGATTAATAAAGTTTGTTAAATAAATATTTTAAAAACCATGTGATTGATGATGAAAAACATCTAGATCCGTCCCACCAATCCAACATCCACCAATTTCCAATAATCCTTTCTCTATCGGTTCGTCTACATCACGATACAAACTAAGTAGTATTTTTTTCTTGAGAAAACACCACTCGGAATCACCTGCAAACAGCTTGGAGGAATCCGAAGAGTAGGCATAAATTATTATTATTTTAGAAGACTTTAGATACTCACGTAAATGTCTTATTTATTCATCTATTGCAGACACTTAGGTAAGGTATTTATTTTATGCGTCTTTATTGACACCATATAATTTTTTTTATGTACTTGATGTTTCGCCTCTCCAGAGAGGCGAAACTTCGAGGAAAAAAAAACAAATAAGTGGCTTTGGAAACGCAATCAGATCTCTGATAACACGCATTACGTAGCAAAGCTGAAATGGCAATGGGCTGGACATGTACCCATGATACAGGTCTCATGGTACAGAACAGTCCTGGAATGGAGACCACAGGGTCGAAAGAGACCAGTCGGAAGACTACAATTGCGGTGGATAGACGATGTGATAAAGCTGGTAGGTACAAACTGGATCCAAGTTGCCCAAAATAGATCACAACGGAGAAGATGGAGGGAGGCATATACCACTATGGTAGAAAGTGGACTTAGATGATGATGATGACTTGATATAAAAATTAATGCGTAGATTTTGTAGTAGATTCTCTGAAGAACCGTAAAAGTACAAGATTTGCAGAGTTTAACCTGACTATAGCAGACATTTTATATCAGTTCAATAATCAGGATGGTACTTTTTCATCAACACTAAAATGCTTAAGTTTTAGTGTTGATAAAGTAGGTTAATAAATATTCAGTTCTACAGTAATCATATATCAAAAAGAAAAAATCCAAGCCCAACTATGGAAGTTTACTTGTGGGAGATGTAAGTATCCAACTTGCGAAAGGATACTATAAGTGAAACAATGTTAATTTAAAAATACCAAAAAAATATTTTATCGATAATTTCACTATATCTATTTATATCTGAGTAACACATTTTTATGTCTAAAATATGCAATGTTGTAGATCTGCAACACTATGGTTTTTGATAAAAAATAATATATAATAATAATAAAAAGCGATTTTATTTCTTCTCATTATTTTTTTCCTTAAAATATAACGCAAAATACACATAATATATTAGAATGAGAAAAAAATCAAATCTCTGCATTTCATGGGTTAGAAAAACACTTAATTACAAACACTTAAATGGTACTAACGGTCTCCTGAACGTGATTGCAGACCGCTGCGACGACGGTCCGATTTTGAAACATTGGGTGATGGTACACATGACCTATTTATCTATTTATAAATAAGAGCTACCAGATACTTACATAGTTTTTAAAGTTCTTGTTTTACTAACAAATCTATGGAATTTGTCTGAAAATAAAAATTTATTATTATTATTATTAAACACTTAATAACGGGAAAAAAAAATTAAACAATAAAGGGGTATTCGTTTCTGGGTTTTCCTTTGAAGATAGATCTTACTTTCATAAATATAGTTAATTCACTTTTTACTGTAGACTTTTTCTATTACATATTTTTAAATATTCTATAATGTGTTATTTTAAATAATAAACATGTCGTTTCTGGAAGATTTTTAACGAACTGAAATTAAGAATGAGCATTAGGGTGTTTCAAAAATTTCAAATTACGAAAAACGAATAATTACAAAAAAATGATCATACAGATCAGAGACACAAAGTTTGCATATCGTCTATAAAGAGTCAATAAATAATAACTGCAAAAATGCAACTTTTCAGGAGACGAAAAAAACGTTTAAAATCTATTATATTGGTTTTTTCAGTACATTGCAATTAT